GTGTGTGTGTGTGTGTGTGTGTGTGTGAGAGAGAGAGAGAGAGAGAGAGAGACTGGCTTAGAACTGTGAAAATGTACAAGGGAAGCAAAAGAGAAACTGAATTAAGGTGGGGAGGGGGGAAAGGGTGGCTTTTTAAGGTGCTGTCTAGGTTTATCAGGGCTGCTGTCACCCTCTGCAGTGATCACGGAGCCCAAGAAAGTAAAATCTGTCACTGCCTCCATATCTTCCCCTTCTACTTGCCAGGAGGTGATGGGGCCAGTGGCCATGATCTTAATTTTTTTAATGTTGAGCTTCAGACCATTTTTTGCACTCTCCTCTTTCACCCTCATTAAGAGGTTCTTTAAGTCCTCCTCACTTTCTGCCATGCTTTTGCATAGTCAATGAAGCGGAAGTAGATGTTTTTCTGGAACTCTCTGGCTTTCTCATCAATCCAGCATAGATTAATCCAGCATGTTAGCAATTTGGTCTCTAGTTCCTCTGCCCCTTCGAAATCCAGCTTGTGCTTGTGGGAGTTTTTGGTCCACATACATTTCTATGCCTCCTGTCTCCCAGCAGGGGGACTCAAGGCCACTCACAAATCATTTAAAAAGAGCAAGAATTAAAAACAACAGATAAACAGCAATTTAAAATTTTTTAAACAAAGAATCAGTAAAATTATCATATAAAACATTAAAAAATACATTAAACCAATATATTGGCTAGGAATGTAGGGCAACTATAGCTATATTAAAATCAAATATTAAATATCAAAGCCTGTTTGGAAAAAAATGTTTTCAATTGCCACTGAAAAGAGAAGAGAGATGTGCTCTGCCTAGCTGCATGACGGAGGACATTCCAACCTGGAGGAAACTTCTGAAAAGGCCCCCTCTTAGATCATTCAAAAATATACCTTAAAAGGTGATGGGGCCAAGGGATGGGCTTTCTCAATATTAGGACTCAAGGAAGATTGTATGGGGAGATAGTCCATTGGACAGCTTGCACCCCTGCTGCATAGGGCTTTGTTTGTCATAACCAGCACTTTGAATTAGGTTTTGAAATGTTTATATACATATTAATTTATTTTTATTTATTACATGCCCCTTTCTCCCCATAGGGGAAGAATATAGTATATAGTGTATTCTTCTTTAATAGGCATGTGCTCTGTGTGTGTGTGTGTGTGTGTGTGTGTGTTTGTGTGTTTGTATGCCACCACTATGAAAAACAAGTGAAAAAACAAGGGAATTTAAAAAACAGTACATATTGTTTGAGGTCAATTGAATTCAGTAATGCAAATCTGCTCTTTATATGTGTAGCCTGTATAATTAAAATTGTAAACTGCCCGGAGAGTGCTTGTAGCGCTATGGGGCGGTATATAAGTCCAATAAATAAATATATGAACTTCGCATTCATAAAAATACTATTACAATTTTATTTTCCCACTAACGATTGGAGCAGAGTGGCGTGAAGAATTGGCTTTAATTAAAAATAAACATCCTCTAATTATGCAGCAGATAAAAATGGTTCAGGTAAGAATCTACAAAACAGATTGGCTTCAAGTCTCTCTCAGTAGATCACCCCTTATTTGTTAGTTCACCTCAATTGGTACTTATTGTCTTAACTGTTCACTCAGAGACTGGTAATGAGTTGGAGTAAAATGTTTCTTTTTACTTACAGTTCTTCAAAGATAAAAACATCATTTTGTATAAAATTTTTGACTTATTACATCAATGAGCTTAACTAGCTTCATTACTGATTAGCCAATTGGTTATAGATACCGAGCTGACAGAACGCATCACTTTTGACAGACTAATGCTAACTGACTGGGAAAAAGGTGGGGGAAAGCATCTGTGGTGGAGAAGGAACTCTTGGTTGTTACTAGAGATGGGCACAAACTGCGCTTTGGCACTGCAGCACCGTTCAGTTCCACAGGTGTTGCATGGACGCCTGGATTCCCCATCCAAGCTCCTATGGGTTCCCACTCAGAGGAGAAGTGGTGGTACCTCTGAGTGAGCACCTGCAGGAGGAGATGGTACAGAAAATCCGTGGTGCCCATGCAACACCAGTCGGCCCAATCTACCAAACTATGCCGAAGCATCAAACCACAGTTCATGCCCCTCACTAGCCGTTACTGATTTGACTGACATTCACTCCAGTCCAGAAGAGTCCCCAACAGTTCCTATCACAGAGGACAGCCTCTTCAAAACCAGCCGTATGTGCAGTGCTACTTAACATTGCCAGGTCTCAGGGCACCAGCTGAATTTGCTATATTTTTCTGTATTTCCAGGCAGAGGTACAAATCTCAGTGTGTGTTGATAGAGGCAGAGATAGTTCAATTTTTGTGTGTGAAGTGATTTTAAAGCTTGAGCGACTATTCCTCAGCTGGCACCAGTGCTAACATATGCAGGACCAACACCTTTTTATTCTGTTGCATTTACCAAGCATTGTGTTGCATTTAACAGCATAAGAAAAAGCCAAAAAGATGGGAAGGGGATGAGGGAGACAGTTGGAGGGTACGTACTTTGGCCATTTGCTCATTCAGAGCAAGGCAAGGAGAAGATTTCCAGCATCAGGACTCATGGGCCTTCCCCTTGCAGCAGTAGCTAGCAACAGCACCAGCACAGGGCCTGGAGTGGAAAGGAAAAAGATAAATCTACGCAACCTTATATTTTTATTTGGACATCTTCGCTGTTGAACTAGTGTGGAAAACATCCAAAAAGTATACCCTGCCTGTTTTGCTCATAGAGCACTGATGTTTATGGGCCAAGTGGGCATCATAAACCACATTTGTCATTATGAATACAACATGTAACTGAGGTTGGCAGTTACTTCAGACAAGCTAAAGCCTCTGTGAATAAAAGAACAAGCCCTTCTATCACTTCCCTTTGCAATTTTATCATCATCCCGTAATCCTGTCTCCCAAATGAGCAAAGTAAAAAAACACAGTCATTTCTCTTGCAGAAAAGACGGATATTATTACAATCTACACGATTTTTAAAAGCCAGGATACAGGATACCTTTATTTTGGATTGTGTAAGGATCACATGGTTTGGTTCTTTTTTTCTGGACCATAGAGAATTTTGTATGTGTCATAAGTATCACATTACAGTACCCGTCTCTATTTCAACCTACCCCTCCCTAATTTTCCCTCCTAAGAGTTTTCCCTTTCCCATAATGGCGATTCCCTTGTTGCCTTCGGCCCTTCCCTGCACACCACGTGACTCTTGTTTCGGAGCCATTGCATCAGCCACACAAATGTCCTTGTCTCATCGTGACGCTAGCAAATCCCGGGCAGATGGAGGGTTACTGACGGCTGCCTTGATCAATCGCTGTGTAGTTCTGAGTTTTGGAGCCGGATGAATGGGCGGGCTTACAAAAAAAAAAAAAACTGCGGCAGCAGGTTTGGGTGCGTGCTTGAAAGCGTTGCAGCAGGTCTTGGAAGACAGGCAGGCGGTAAGTCAAGGTAGGATGGTGGAAAATGGGTTGAATGAATATAAAGCAATGAACGTTGGGCGATTGATTGCTGGACACCTGGATTGTTTTCTTCCATTAGAAGATTATTATTACTATCACTGTTTACCTTTCTGCCTGGCTTTTTCTCTAAGAGTTCATGGTGGTGGTCGTGATTTTCACAACAACCCCGCCAGGAAGGCTCGGTCGCAAGATAGTGACTAATCTAGGGTCCTTCATGGCCGTATGTGTGTCTGTGTGTCTGTGTCTGAATAGGAGTAAGTTGAGTCATAGTGCAGGGCTGTAACCGCTACACCATGCTGTTTGGCTCTCAGCTTTTCTGGGTCCGGTGGGAGCCTGCAGAGGATGCTCACAGCCTGATTCATGGTGGTGATGTGGGACCTAAGCTAGGGGACGGGGACCGAAGAGCCTTTCTCTCTACGCCAAGGTAACCCGGGTGTTAGAGTTGGAGGGGTGTGCCTTTGAAGAGCGTATCTGGACTTGCTGCTAAATTTGATACTGATGGCATCAAGGTAAAAGTGAGTGCAAATGTAAGAGTCAATGCCAGCTAGTAACCTAATTGCCTAGATGTCAGAGCCTCAGCTGCAGTGTCCTGTGCAATTTCTTGGTAGATGGGTTGTCTTACACCTTGTACTTGATCAGAAATTTGTAAGGGCAGTGGGTTGGGTAAAGGTCTGGTTGCAGTTGCCATGACACTGCAGACTACTAGTGGAACTAGTGAAAATGCAGTTAGGTATGGCATGAGGACAGATGGTCAAATTTATTGATCCATTGAATAATTATTTTTATTTTGATATCTCATATGTCAACTGGCAGGCTCAGGACAATTTGTTTTCCTTACATAGGAACATTCCTCCTGATTTCCTCCCCCTTCCCCCGGAATTCCCTAAAATGCTACATCAAACTTCTTCTTGCCAGTATGCCCTCACCTGAAAACTGCTTGCTTGCTTCCTTTTCTTGCCCTATTCTGCCCAAGAATCAGAGTGTGGTTGCAGTGTTGTGTATTTAGCAAGAAGGGGTCAAGAGCAGCCATGGATAGACTCTTTGCCATATTCTTTCAGCTGCTGCAGGTTAGTTTCTGCAGTGTCCTTTCAACAGATTGTACTCTAAATAAGTGCTCTGCTTCAACAGTTATTTTGAAAAGAAAAATGGTGCACATTATGTGTTTTTAAAGATAGATTCAACTCCCACAGTGTTGTTGAAACAAAATTGCAGATGAAACTAAGATCAATCTGTACCAGAATGATAGGAAGAAAAAAATATGGAGAAGGCACATGATCTGAAGCATGGCACATCATCTGTAAAACATGTTGGATGCAGTGTGATGGGATGGGCATGCATAGCTTCCAATGATACTGGGTCACTAGTGTTTATTGGTGATGTGATAGAAGACAGAAGCAGCCAGATGAATTCTGAAGTTTATAGGGATATATTGTCTGCTCAGATTCAGCCAAATTCATCAAAGCTGATTGGATGGCGCTTCACTTTACAGATGGACAATAATGCACAACAACTGCGAAAGCAGCCCAGGAATTTTTTAAGGCAAAGAAGTGGAATATTCTGTAATGGCCAAGTTAATCACCTGATTTCAACCCAATCGAGCATGCATTTCACTTGTTGAAGACAAAACATAAGGCAGAAAGACCCACAAGGAAACAACAATTGCAGTAAAGGCCTGGCAAAGCATCATGAAGGAGGAAACCCAGTGTTTGGTGTTGTCCATGTGTTCCAAACACAAGTGTTCAAGCAGTATGCAAAGGATTCTTGAAAAAGTATTGAAGATGAACCTTTTGTTTATGATTGTGTTAATTTGTCCAAATACATTTGAGCCCCTGAAATAAGGGACTGTGTATGAAAATGACGGCAATTCCTGAATGTTTCATATGATATTTTTTGTTCACCCTCTTGATTTAAAGATGACAATCTGCACTTCAATTGCATCTTGGTTGTTTCATTTCAAATCCATTGTGGTGGTGTACAGAGCCAGAATTATGGAAATGTCAGTGTCCAGTTATTTCCGGACCTAACTGCACCTGCAGGCAGGAAGAAGACCATAAAGAGTTGGGAGCCCAGGTGTCTTACAGCATATAAGAACTTGAAGAACCGGGTAGAAATATTTATGTAAAGTTAGCAAATGTTTCTGGCTCCTAGTTAGTTAATAATAGCACACTCCCCAAATTGTTACCATCTCTGATCTTAAGGCACATCTTATAGTCTTGTGCATGTACATGCAGGCATCTCAATGTATGGTTTTTACAGCCTCTGATCAGACGTATTAAACCTGATGTTTCAGCTCTAGGAATGCAGCTTATGTGTAGATTTTCCCCCTCAATTTTGTGCTCTTTTTCTTTTTCCTCACCAGGGTGGATTGAGAATCCCAAGATGGAAATGACATTAACAGCCAGCGAGATCCGCCAACGTTTCATTGACTTCTTTGTGAAGAACGCCCATACTTATGTGCATTCTTCTGCCACCATCCCCTTGGATGACCCTACTCTGCTGTTTGCCAATGCTGGCATGAATCAGGTTGGAAATGATAGAGGTCTATAGAGTTACAGATAGCCCGCAGAGATTGGTTAAGGAAAATTGCCTCTCCTCTCCTAATTCTTAAGCTCAGAAGTGATGAATGGTGTTGATCAGCTAGATGTTTAGGAAAACAAAAGGAAGGTTGAGTTAGGTTTTGGAATTTGTGGCCACAGTATGCACTGATGGTTTAAGAAGTTGTATCTGACAGGTTCATGAGCAATTCATCTAGAAATGGAAACTGAGTGGAAACCTTGTAATTAAAGACTTCCTTCTTCCATCACAGAGCTCACATGGCTTTCATGCAAAAAAAACCATGGGACAGAAGTTGTTAATTAGTGAAAATCACCCACTGATGATGATGTCATCATCCTTCTGTAAGCACAGTTACACTAACAGGATTTTGGCTAATAAAAGATTTGGAGTGTCAAAGAGGACAATATTTCTATTGCAATTTTTTTATTACACTGGTGCCTCACACAACGATGTTAATTGGTTCCAAAAAAATCAACGTTGTGTGAAACATCGTTCTGTGAAACACCATTTCCCATAGGAATGAATTGAAAACTGGTTAATCCGTTCCAATTGGAACAGATTGCCATCGTTCAGTGAAAATCCCCATAGGAAACATCGTTGAGTGAAACAATGTTTCCTATGTTGGAATGTATTGAAGCCGACTCAATACATTTCAATGCCTTTGTGAAGTCCTTTTTCGCTCCTGTAAAAATGTCTTACAATGTTTGGACACTGTTTTAAATGATTGCAATGGTTAGTCCACCTCCTGAAACCTATGCAAACTTAATTTGATGTTGTTCAGAGTCGTCCTTAATTTTTAGTGATTTTTTGAATTTTCTCTCATTGGAATGTATTGAACTTTCCGTCCAATGCATTCCATTGAGAGAAAATTCAAAAAATGACCAAAAATTAAGGACGACTCAGAACAACACCAAATTAAGTTTGCATAGGGTTCAGGAGGTGGGCTAACGATTGCAAGCATTTAAAACCTGTTCCAAACATTGTAAGACCCTTAAAAATGAGCGAAAACGGAAGAGCTTCAAAAGCACTGAAGCCGGCTTCAGTGCTTTTGAAGTCTTTTCCGATGTCCCTTTTCGCTCATTTTTAAGTGTCTTACAATGTTTGGAACAGGTTTTAAATGCTTGCAATCGTTAGCCCACCTCCTGAACCCTATGCAAACTTAATTTGGTGTTGTTCTGAGTCGTCCTTAATTTTTGGTGATTTTTTGTTTTCCCTATTTAAATGAATTGAACTGTCCATTCAATTGATTTAAATGGGGAAAATAAAAAAATCATCAAAAATTAATGAAGACTCAGAACAAAACCAAATTAAGTTTGCACATGTTTCACAAGGTGCACTATGGAATCCAAGCATTTAAAACAGGTTTCAAACATTTTAAGACACTTTTAAATGAGCAAAAAGGGACATCGTTAAGTGAAATTCCCCCATAGAGAACATCGTCAAACGATGGGGAAAATTCCTCAAAAAAACCCATCGCTGTGTGAATTCATCGTTGTATGAAGCAATCGTTGTGCGAGGCACCACTGTATTTCCCCTTATTCCCTGTTTTTTACTATTCTTCTGCTTTGCCCGTACTGTACCCTCAGAAGCACAAAAAAGCTGAGGCTCTGAAATGCATGTTCTTTGCAGCCCGCATCAACATTCACATTCGTCTTTGTCCCTTGAGAGCCAAGAGCAAGGGCTAGTAGTTGTGCCTTAGATACAGCATATTTTTTTAAGTAAAAAAAGGAAGCTGATGTTACCTTGAAATATGATTTAGTGTAGCTTTGCATTTAAGGGTTAGCTTGGTACCTACTAGCAACAAAGACTTGCATTCATGGAATTTGGTGCAGGCTATGAGTGGAGGCTATAAGTGGAGAAGAAATGGGAGAATCTTCTATGCTAGACACGGGAAGAAACCACATGGGCTCCTCTGTTGCCAGCAGAGGAATGGAGCTTTCCATCCCTCAGATGCTAGCAGGTGAGATTTTATTTTAGCTAGTTGGTAACTGTTATGGGTCAAAAATCAGGTTGAGGAGACCATGTTAGTACAAGATGCTTAAATTCAAACTTATTTTTAACCTGGCTAAAATAAATAAATAAATAAATAGAATAAATCTGTTCTTTGGGAGCTACTACAAAGTATTTGACAAAACATACGTAACTTGCCCATTGTAAAGGTGCATTTTGAACTCAGGATTTCACAGACTGAAAGCTAAGTAAATATTCATCCACTCCCTCTATATTTGGGCTCATGTCTGTAGGTACCTCTTAATCTAGATTCTTCATCTACATGGTTTGCATGAAACTCCGGAGTTGACGATTGACCTCTTATTTCTCTCCCAGTTCAAGCCCATCTTCCTCAACACTCTTGACCCCTCCCACCCTATGGCAAAGCTGACGCGGGCTGCCAACACTCAGAAGTGCATTCGTGCTGGTGGGAAGCATAATGACCTGGACGATGTTGGTAAAGATGTCTATCATCATACATTCTTTGAGATGCTGGGCTCTTGGTCTTTTGGAGATTACTTCAAGGTACAGTGAGGGCAGCCTTTGCCCAGAACTTCAGATAAATAATTGGTTAAGCATCCAGGGTGGTGTAGTGAATTTAATGTCAACACAGGAAAGCTTGGTTCAAATCTCTGGACTGCCATGAAAATTCATGGAAAGGTAGTGGGATAAAGTATTTTTTGAACATTTTGTGTATCCTGAAAGGATTGCAGCAAGTTAGAAGTGACTTGACAGCACATAACAATTGTTTAAAGCTTCATGAGTCCAGATGACTGACAGAAGCAACCTGATGACATTTAACTGCTGTCACCCTAAAAATGTACACGCACTCATATATGCACATCATTCCACTTCTCATATTTCTGTTAATTGCAGAATTAGGAATAGTGTGTTAAAATTGTAAGGAAAAGGCTATAGATAGAATATCGGGAATTCCAGCTGGGGAAAAGATGCAGTATGAGTTGGGGGTGGTGGGTAATGGACAATATATGTGCAGTGGCCCCTTCTCTTGCTGTTCCCTCCTCTTTAGAAGTTCTGATTAAGGCCTCCCCCCCCCACTTCTGTGCACAATCACTGCAACTGTTTTTCAGAAACCTTGCCGGTTTGTTTGCACAGCACCACAGGTGCTGCATGCTCCTTCCCCCACATCCCTGGGTGGATCGCCCACTGACCACCTGGCATGTGTGCCTCTCCTCCTCTTGTTCGGCTGTTTGAGCATTCTCCTACAGGAGGGTGGACTTACCTTTCTTGCCTCTTTGTCTGACTGGGCAATTGGCTAAGGAGGCAGGGCAGGGAAGCCCATGCCCCGTCAGAGACTGGTAGAACAGCCAAAAAGGAGGAGGAGAGGAACACGCACCGGCTGGTGAGTGGGTCATTGGCCGGGGAGGTGAACCGGCATGAACCTCCGAACCAAGGTTCACGCCCATCTCTGCTTAGGACAGAAACTCAGCTTTGCTCCCTCCACTTCATCTTCCTCATGCACGGAGGTCAAGCAATCTATGCTTCAAGGGCTTGCTGAGTTTCAAGGCTAGAAGTCACCCAACTCCTCAAATGCTTGGCTAAATGGGCTGTGTGCCCTGCTTGCCTTCCCTGCGTTGGGAGGGTAAATGAAGTTGGGCTGACCTCCAGGCATAGAGGTCACCTTCATATTGTCTCCCTCCTGAGAGGTTGTGGCAATTGGACAACTCCCATGGACTGGATTGGGGACATGATTGAGCCAGATTAGGCCAATGGGCTTTGTTGGTATGCAGCCATCCTCCTTTTCTCTTCTGGGGATAGCCAAGAAGAACCTAAGTAAGTTTATTCTTGAAGCTTCTATAGCAAGCAAGCAAATCTTTATAAATAGCAAGAGTGTCATGACTTTCTTTCTTTTCTTTACCCAGGAACTGGCCTGCAGATTTGCCCTGGATCTGCTTACTAAAGAATTTGGCATCCCTGTTGAGCGACTTTATGTTACATACTTTGGTGGGAATGAAGCAGCTGGTCTGCATCCTGACTTAGATTGCAAACAAATTTGGCTGGATTTGGAGTAAGTTTGTCTTTGAATGGAGTGTGTGAGGCTATTCAGTGTGGCTTAAAATTTAAAATAAAACTTCTTCTAATTATGCAGCAGATAAAATGGTTCAGTAAGGAACCTATAAAGCAGATTGAGCTACAAGTCTCCCTCAGTAGACCACCCGTTATTTGTTAGTTTATTTCAACTGCCATTTACTGTCTCAATACATTCACCGAGAGACTCTGATAATGAGAAAGAATTAAAAAATATATATTTCAGTTTACTTACAGTTTTTCATAGCCAAAAACCAATATTGTATTGGGTAAAAAGTTAATCTGTTACATCACTGAGCTTAACTAGCTTTATTAAAAACTGACTGGTTACAGAGCTGGCAGAATATATCATTTGAACTGTCTTCAGACTGCATAACTTACCCTAACATAATCCACACCACCAGAGGTCCCCAACCCCGGTCCGTGGCCTGAGCCGGACCGGGCCATGGAGACAGACCTCCCCCCATCCCTGCACGCACTTCCCCCACACAGCCCCTTTGCACATGCCCGTGTGCGCCTGTGCCCACACAAGCGCTCCCTCACCCCTTTGCACGTGCGCATGACTGCCCCTGGGCACTGTGCCATCCTTTGTGCATGTGCACGAGTGCCCTCCCACTTCTTCGTGCATGCGGCCAAGTGCCCATGCGAGAGCTCACCTGCTCTTTTGCACATGCGCACAAGTGCGGGGTGTGCCCCGCCTTCCCCAGCCAGTCCTTGGGATTAAAAAGGTTGGAGACCAATGCACTACACCATTAGCTCTAAGAAATATGGTTCTTCTTCATGGTCTCTGTGAATGCACACAATTGGGTTTTAGTGCACCTGCACAGAGACTCTCGGGAACTTCTAGAGCTTTTACATGTGTTTATTAGGACATCCTTCCTGTCATGCATGCCCATGGCATAGAGTGCCTTAGTTCCTTTTTTGCTGCTGCTGCTGCAGCACCTCAGCTATGGAACTCCATTCATTCTTTAAATAAAATAAAATAAAAATGTAGTTACGATCCTTCTACAGCAGAGGTCGTCAACCCCTGATCTGTGGCCAGAGCTGGACTGGGCTGCGAAGACAGATCTCTGCCCCCCCCGCACGCAGTCCCCTCCCCACAGCTGCTTTGCGCACATGTGTGCATGCCAGCACCGGCATGAGCACTCCCCCACTCCTTCACGCATGTGCCTGATTGCGCGTGGGGGTGCCCCGCCTTCCTCAGAGGCTCACCTGGTCCATTGTCCCAAAAAGGTTAGGGACCGCTGTTCTACAGGACCTTCCTCCATTTCCTTCATTTCATGAGTAAAAAAAAAGAGAAGAGACAAATCTCTTTTTTCCTGCCCCCTTTTCCCATCTGGGCCCTCCACTCTTTTATGGCCTCTTCGGGCCCCTTCAAGTGGAGTGAGTCTTGCCCAAATAAAATACCGTATTTTTCGCTTCATAAGACGCACCTTTCCATAAGACGCACCAATTTTTTAGGAGAAGAAAACAGGAAAATGTAATCTGTTTTCTTCGCTCCATAAGACGCACAGACTTTCCACCCCCCTGTTTTGTGGGGGGAAAGTGCGTCTTATGGTGCAAAAAATACGGTAACTCTACCTGACAGGCATTCTCAGTGCCTCTTCTGTTTAGGTGAGCCCTCCCCCAAACTAACTCCTGCCAGGCTTTGCTTATATTGGCGTGTCACTGAATGTGTATTAGGAATTTGGGTTTTTTAAAAGTTGCTAAACAAACCAACTCCAAAACATGGATTGCTTTTGCTAGTTTAAGTTCAGTAAACTAGAGCTTAATTTAAGCTACATTTCCTTGTTCACACAGAGCAATGAACCAAGAATCTGCTAAGAAAATGGAATTCTGCCTTATTCCTCCTCCAGACTGTGCAGGAGAAGGAGTGAGGAATGAGCAAGCCCAGAGCTTTGTACAAGCTCCTTTATCTTCAATGAATGTAGCACTAAACTGTGGCTTAGTATTGTGTGCAGACACATCATCTTTTATTTGTTAATGTGTTCCATGGAGTCAGTCAGATGGGCAGCACAGGTTAAACGCTTTGCCACATTCTAAACTCAGCTATTTAAAAAAAATTTCAGAGAATCTGGTTCTTGCAGACTTCGTTTCGGACCATCCTATCACTTACTGAACATTTCCTTTGTTACAGTCTGCCAGAGAGCAGGATTCTTCCAGGCAGCATGAAAGATAACTTTTGGGAAATGGGTGATACAGGGCCTTGTGGACCTTGCAGTGAAATTCACTATGACCGGATTGGGGGCCGTGATGCTTCACATCTCGTCAATCAAGATGACCCCAATGTGCTGGAGATCTGGAACCTGGTGTTCATACAATTCAACAGGTATTATAAAAGTCCCTTTTTTTGTTAACACCTTCCATACTTATTTATTTGTTGTATTTCCTCCAGTGTTTTTGGGGTGGTGTACATGGCTCTTTTTCTCCCTACTTTGCTGTCACAACTTTAGGAAATAAATGAGCCTAAGAGTGAGTGAGAGTGAGAGGAAGCCTCACTGTGATAAAGGTGAACATGGCTTCAAGCTCTTCTTCCACTGAATAGGTTTTCTTATGTTCTTGGAGAGGTTATTCCTTCCCAAATGTGCCCAATATTTCTTAAAATTTAATTTATTTTAATTCATAGGCTTTGTGAAACTGTTCAACTTTTTAGATTACATGTAGGAATGAGGGGAGAGTGGAGTCTCTGTTTTTGTATTTCCTGAGTTGTAATTATGTGTTTCTCTTCCTTGTATCAGAGAAGCTGATGGGACCTTGAAGCCTCTTCCTAAGAAGAGCATTGACACTGGCATGGGTCTAGAGAGGTTGGTCTCTATCCTGCAGAGCAAGATGTCCAACTATGATACAGATCTCTTCGTGCCTTACTTTGAGGCTATCCAGAAGGTACCGGTCCAGATGCATTTGTGGATGAATATGTCATCTTAAGGATTGGGCCCATGCAGTGTGTCTCCGGTTTTCCCTAAGAGCCTAGATTCTTTTGGTGGCACATTTGACCCAGTGTAGCCTTCTAGACCTTTCTCCCTCAGCTTCACTGCTGAAACTGTTCCGTGCCTTGATGGCTGTATTATTTCTTTCATATTTAAATTGTCAGTCTGTATAGCGACAGTGTCAAGCACGAGTAACTGGAGCAATACTAATCTTTAATTTAGGGTGGTCCTACTATTAGACAGAGAGAGGTGACTGTCTGGAACAGGAAAGGTGGGGCTGGGGGAGATGCTGGAATGCAGAGCTGTGTGAACCAAATGTAATTTCCTGTTTTCACAATCCTGTGCCCACCGGTGCAGTGAAAACCACTTCTTGGTATAAGTAGGCCATAGAAACTGAAAGGAGTTTCATAGTATGTGTAATTGCTACCGACTCTTATCCTTTAAACCTTTTCTTTCTCCTGTTTTTTCAACATCCCAGGGCACTGGTTGCAGGCCATATACTGGGAAAGTTGGTGAGGATGATGCAGATGGTATAGACATGGCTTATCGTGTACTGGCTGACCATGCCCGAACCATCACTGTAGCCCTTTCAGATGGTGGAAGGCCTGATAACACTGGAAGGGGGTAAGGATTCCTGTAATTTAACTACTTCAGTCTACTGTATGAAATTTATTATGAAGGATTTGCTCTCATTGACTTGATTCTAACCAACAGAGATGACTTGGTGGTGGAAGTGGCAGTAAGGGGAACTCTGGGTGAGAGTGACTATGTCCTTCTAGAATTTTTGATTTCAAAGGAAACGAAAGCAGAGTGTAGCCACACACTTCTTCCAGATTTTAAAAATGGCAGTTTTAATAATCTCAGAACAAGGATAAGGAATGTCCCATGGCAGGACAGCTTAACAAGAAAAGGAGTCCAAGAAAGGTGGGAGGTTCTGAAATAAGAAATTCTGAAGGCACAACTACAAACAATTCCAACAAGAAAAAAAGCGGGGAGGTGGCAAAAAGGCCAGTGTGTTTTCACAAAAAGCTCAGGGAGGACCTAAAAACCAAATGAGACATGTACAGGAATTGTAAAGAAGGCCAGGCCACCAAGGAGGAGTACAGACAAGTAGCAAGGAAGTGCAGGAATGGCATTAAGAGGGCAAAAGCTGAGAATGAGCTGAGGTTAGCTAGAGACACTTAAAGCAATTAAAAAAGCATTATTCAGGTATGTGAGTAGCAAAAGACAAACAAAAGACATAGTGGCACAGCTCCGCAGTGGAGATGGAAAAATTATAACAGAGGACAAAGAAGAGGCAGAGGTACTCAATTCCTATTTTATTTCAGCCTTTTCCCATATGACAGACTATTGGAAGTGCAGGTGAGGGGGACAGGATTGCAGCTGGAGATTAATAAATAGTCAAGGAATACTTTACCACCTTGAACCTCATGGAGCTTCGTGGCGCAGTGGTTAAACGGCTGTACTGCAGCCAAAACTGCTCATGACCTGGGGTTCAATCCCAGGTAGCCGGCTCAAGGTTGACTCAGCCTTCTATCCTTCCGAGGTTGGTAAAATGAGTACGCAGCTCGCTGGGGGCGGGGCAATGTGTAGCCTGCATAATTAACTTGTAAACCACCCAGAGAGTGCTTGAAGCACTATGGGGAAGTATATAAGCAGCATACTTTGCTTTGAACGAGTTCAAATGTCTAGGGCCGGATGAACTGCATCTGAGAGTACTGAAGGAACTGGCTGAAGAACCCTCAGAACCGCTATCCATTATTTTCTTGAAATCATGGGAAACGAGGGAGGTGCCAGAGGATTGGAGGAGGGCTAATGTTGTCCCTATCTTCAAAAAGGGCAAAAAAGAGGAACCTGGGAACTACAGGCCAGTCAGCCTGACCTCAATCCTAGGCAAAATTCTGGAATAGATCGTAAGGCGGTCATTGTGCAAGCACCTAGAAAACAATGTAGTAATAACTAGAAGCCATCTGGGAACAATTCTTCCATAGATTACCTAACGCTGAACTTCCCATTTCTCTCTGTAACTACCCTTGGTGCAATGGGACACACAGTATCTGGTTTTCAGCATATCCCAGGGACTGGCATTTTGTGAGCATGTTCATAACTAAATATTCTCCTTGTCCATAATAGTACCTTTAATAGTGGTCATGTCATCCTTAATGTTTTTGAAGCCTCCGATAAGACACCTTCTGATGCTGAGATGTTAAACAGACTGAGCAAAGAATCTGTTACTTTCACCAAGCAGGCCACCTTGTGCTTTATCTCTTAGTTTGGTCTCTTATGTATCCTTATTACTAAATAAAATAACTCCACATGTCCATGTTGAGCAATTTTAGCAGTTGGTGCCTTTAAAGGGCAGTCCCAGACAACCTTACTCAATCTCTTGCCTTATATTCCCCTTGTGCAGGTATGTTCTGAGACGCATCCTTCGCCGTGCTGTGCGCTATGCCCATGAGAAACTCAGTGCTCCCAAAGGATTTTTTGCATCGCTTGTTGATGTGGTAGTAGAATCCCTGGTAAATTTTTGATCCTGTTCTTTCCCTGTTGCTCTTGAGACTTACATGGGGCATGGAGGGAAGGCCACACTTTGGACCTGGTTTTCTCCACTAAGTGGAGAGAGTGTGGCCTGATGGTGACTGACCTTCAGTTGGTCCCCTTGTCATGGACGGACCACCACCTGATAAAGTGCAACCTCACGGTGGCCCTCCCTACCCGTGGGGAGCAGAGACCTATTTTCATGGTCTGTCCTTGCAGGCTATTGGATCTTACTGGATTCCAGGATGGCATGCGTGGGATTCCGACTGACCTGACTGGCGCTCCTGTTGAGGCCCTGGTGGGTGGCTGGTATGCCACCGTTGCCAGGGCTATAGACACGATCACTCCTAAACACCCTCCCCGCCGCACAGCCCAACCAGCACCTTGGTTTAACCAGCAGCTGCAGGCTATGAAATGGAATAGGAGAAGGCTATAACCCGATGGAAAATAACTTACAAGCTGCCAAGGTCATGTCTAACCCCAACCTTGCTAAGGTAGAGGCTGCTAGAATAGGTTACCTCACTGTCTGGATAAGTGAAGCATCCAATCAGCAGGCCAAACTTTTCTGTATAGTACGTGACGTATCGGGAATTGGCCACAATGATTGGCCTCCATCTAGCATTTCTTGTGACAGGTTTGCAGCATTTTTAAAATCAAAAGTGGAGGCCATCCACCGGGATCTTACACCCTATTTGAAAATAGTGGATCAAGCTGAGACATCCAGTGCAGCACCTTGTCCATTGAGAATTAGTTTTAACCTGTGACGTCCGCAGAAGTGGACAAGGTCCTTGATCGCTGCCAAGCCACCACCTCCCCCCTTGACTCTTGACCAGCCTGGCTAATCAAGGCTGCCAGGCTGGTGATAACTGAATGGGCTACTGAAATAATAAATTGGTCTTTCCTTGAGGGCAAGTTGCCCTTAAGGAAATGCTCAATGGGCCCATTAGAAAGAAACTGAGCTTGGCAGTGGACAACCTTGGCAATTATAGGCCCGTCACCAATGTTTCTTTCCTTAGCAAGGTAGTTGAGAGGGTGGTAGCAGATCAGCTTCAGGCGCTCTTGGATGCCCTGGATCCGTTTCAGTCGGGCTTCAGCTCGTAGCATGGAAACGGCATTGGTCACTCTGCTGGTACAGTATCTCAGCCCCCTTTGATACCATCAACCACGGTATCCTCCTGGGGAGGCTCTCTGAGTTGGTGATCTATGGCCTTCCTCTCGCTTGGCTCTGGTCCTTCTTGGAGAACCGTCCCCAGAGAGTTCAGCTTGGGAGAATGTATTGGACCCGTGGTTCCTCAATTGTGAAGTTCTTCAGGGTTCGATCGTCTCCCCAATGCTGTTTAGCATCTTTATGAGGCTGCTGGGAGGGTGTCATCCGGCGATGTGGAGCTTCGTATCACCAAATGCTGATGACACCCAGCTCTACATCTCCTTTTTTCCATCTGCAGTGGATGCCGTTCCATCCCTTGAGTGCTGCCTGGAGACCATCCTACAATGGATGCAGTTGAATGGCCTGAGGTTGAGCCTGAACAAGACGGAGGTCTTGTGGGTGGGAGGCCCTGATGTCAGTGATTTGGGGAACACCCTGTCCTTTGGGGGGATGACTCTCCACAAAGAATTTGGTCTGCAGTCTGGAGGTCCATCTTGACCCGGTGCTTACCATGGAGACCCAGGTAGCATCTGTGGTTCGGTCCGCCCCCTTGCATCTTCGGCGGATCGCCCAACTGCATCCCTATCTAGATGCAGAGGCGCTCGCCACGCTGGTCCATGTGCTCGTCTCAAAAATACACTAATGTAACGCTCTCCTTAGAGAGGAGGCCTTAGAAATAGCAGAGAGGAGAAGGGAAACAAAATGCAAGGGAGATAGGGAAAGCTACAGAAAATTGAATGCAGACTTCCAAAGAATAGCAAGGAGAGACAAGAGGGCCTTATTAAATGAACAATGCAAAGACATAGAGGAAAATAACAGAAAAGGAAAAACCAGAGATCTGTTCAGGAAAATTGGAGATATTAGAGGAACATTCTGTGCAAAGATGAACATGATAAAGGACAAAAATAGGAGGGACCTAACAGAAGCAGAAGACATCAAGAAGAGGTGGCAAGAATACACAGAGGAATTATATCAGAAAGATTTGGATATCCCGGACAACCTAGACAATGTAGTTGCTGACCTTGAGCCAGACATCCTGGAGAATGAAGTCAAGTGGGCCTTAGAAAGCCTGGCTAACAACAGGGCCAGTGGAGGTGATGACATTCCAGTTGAATTATTTAAAATCTTAAAAGAGGATGCTGTTAAGGTGCTACATTCAATATGCCAGTAAGTTTGGAAAAATCAACAGTGGCCAGAGGATTGGAAAAGGTCAGTCTATCTCAATCCCAAAGAAAGGCAGTGCCAAAGAATGCTCCAACTACCGGACAATTGCACTCATTTCACACGCTAGCAAGGTTATGCTCAAAATCCTCCAAGGTAGGCTTCAGCAGTATGTGGACCGAGAACTCCCAGAAGTACAAGCTGGATTCCGAAGAGGCAGAGGAACTCGAGACCAAATTGCTAACATGCGCTGTAT